AATTTATAATCAAGATTAAGTTCAATTCAATCTACGGGGTATGAGTTGTTTCGAGTTGTAATGATATAAACTGAAATTGTTTTCTTTGGCATAAGTCAGGAACAAATCTATTAAGGGGTTGGAAGGGATTGTTATCTCTCCTTAATGTTTTTTTTTTTGTATATAATGACATTAAGTCTTTTTTTTTATTTAAATAAGATATTTATGCATCTATTTAAATACTCAATAAAATCATATTCTTTTGATATAAAATAATTTGATTCCTCATATATATATATATATATATATATATATGTGTTCGAAAATCCGATCTCACTTTACACCATGATACTATTATAAAATATTTTTTTTAATGGGACCTCCATGCATGCATCATCCAAGTTACTTTTATTTTTGTTGGACATCACTGTTGATAATGGAATTTCTCTGTTTAACTCAAAGTCTAGCCACTGGTTCTTGATTTTCTTTTAACAATTTTTTGCTATTTGTGATGCACATAACATCAGCAACTCCATGTGCATGAATCTTTAAACATGATGATGTTTACATGGGGGGACAGAATTTTACTTTTTAAAGAATCAATATGGTTGAGCTCCATTTTCTGATGAAACTGATATGTCTTCATCAGGGGAATTATATACATAGATTCTTGATAAATTCTGCATATGTTTAGTGTTGAAACTAGCATAAAGAACCCAGATTTGGCAACCAATCCAAGGAATCAAAACTGGGTTGAAACAGTGAGAAAATTGGATATTTTGATCTGAACATCCTTAAATTTCTGCAGTAAAAGCAATGTTTTTGAATCATTCTCGAGGATTTGAAAGCCAACATTTTAAAATGATTGAACAATTCCATCTATCTCTCATTCAAAGCAATAAAGATCATTGTTTGATTAAGGCTTAAAGCTAAAGGCCATTCTTTTTTGTCATATAAATAAAGAGTCCATCAACTTTACCTTTTTCTTCTTCTTCCTTCCCTCCTCTATAATCTGAACTTATCAAAATTTTAACTCGTCTTAACCAACTGAACCGACCCAGAGACTCGGATTGTAAAACCCTTTAAACCAAATCCACTTTTCTTTGCTTAAAGAAGCTTAGGGTAGAGAAAGAGAGAGAAGAATGAACAGTTAAAATTTTCCATGACTAGCAGAAATTCAATCTCTTCTTTGTCTTTGAGAGAAAAAGAAAGGAAAGGAAAAGAAAAGAAGAAAAAGGTGAGGCTTAGCATCTATCTTGTATGTCAAGACTCTTTCTATCAAGATGTTTGATTCTTTAAGCCTACACACACTTGAAGTTTCTCAGATTCCTTTCACTTTTCTTTCCTACTTTCCTAGAAAATCTTTTGTTGTTCTAACGCTTAAATCCCTTTGTCTTTGCTTCAAGTCCTTCCAAACTCAATTCTCTTGAGAAAAAACATAGTATTTTTTTCCCACGAACCAAACATGGTCCCTCTCATTGTGTTGACATTATTCTCTCTTGTAACCACTTCATGTTCTGCTTCATTAGTTTCTGATTTTTATGTCCTGGTTGCACTTAAAAGCGGGTTTGAGTTCCCTGACCCGCTGTTGAGCTCGTGGAATTCTTCGGACCCTGGTTCTGTTTGCTCATGGACCGGAATCGGATGCTCCGGTGGCCGAGTTGTTTCCTTGGACTTGACCGATATGAATGTATGCGGCTCGGTTTCACCCCGGATTTCGATACTCGATAGGCTAATAAACCTTTCTCTAGCCGGAAACAACTTCACCGGAAGCATGGAGATAGCAAATATGAGTGATCTTCGATACCTCAACGTTTCGAACAACCAGTTCGACGGTCACCTGGATTGGAACTATGCAAGTGTAGGCAACCTGGAAATGTTGGATGCTTATAACAACAAATTCACTGCTTTGCTGCCTGTTGGTGTTGTTGGCTTGAAGAAACTCAGGTACTTGGACCTCGGTGGCAACTATTTCTATGGCACAATCCCCCCGAGCTATGGCACATTGATCGGGTTGGAGTATCTTTCACTGGCGGGAAATGATCTTCATGGCAAAATCCCTGGCGAATTAGGCAATCTGGTGAACCTGAGAGAGATTTACTTGGGGTATTACAATGTTTTCGAAGGTGGTATCCCTTCGGAGTTTGGTAAATTGATAAATTTGGTTCACATGGATCTCTCAAGCTGTGAATTGGATGGTCCAATTCCTCATCATCTGGGGAACTTGCAGTTACTTGATACTCTGTACCTCCATATCAATCGACTCTTGGGTCCGATTCCGAAGCAGTTAGGCAACTTGACCAACTTGGTGAACCTAGATCTCTCCCACAATGCGCTCACCGGAGAAATCCCGTCTCAGTTCGACGATCTCAAGCAGCTCAGGCTATTCAATCTCTTCATGAATAGACTGCATGGCTCTATTCCGGACTTCGTAGCTGACTTGCCTAATTTGGAGACGTTGGGGCTATGGATGAACAACTTCACCGGTGTTATACCCGAGAATCTCGGTCGAAATGGGAAGCTGCAGTTGCTTGATTTATCGTCCAACAAGCTAACCGGTACGATCCCTCGAGGCCTGTGTGATTCGAATCAGTTAAGGATATTAGTTTTGATGAAAAACTTCCTTTTCGGGTCTGTTCCGGAAGAACTGGGGAGATGTTATAGTCTCACTAGAGTCAGGTTGGGGCAGAATTACTTGAATGGTACTATTCCTAATGGTTTCATTTACTTGCCTGAGCTGAATTTAGCCGAGTTGCAGAACAATTACCTTTCGGGAACCTTGGCCGAAAACAGTAACTTGTCGTCGAGACCAGTTAAGTTAGGCCAGCTTAATTTGTCAAACAATCTCCTCTCAGGTTCATTGCCGTATTCACTTGCCAACTTGTCTTCTCTTGAAATCCTTTTACTTAGCGGAAACCGATTCTTGGGTCCGATACCGCCTTCTATAGGTGAACTCAGGCAAGTTTTGAAGCTTGATCTTAGTAGAAATTCACTTTCCGGTATCATTCCACCAGCAATTGGGCACTGTTTTCATCTTACATACCTTGACATAAGCCAAAATAACCTCTCTGGCTCAATTCCAATGGAGATCTCCAATTTGCATATCCTGAGTTACTTGAATGTATCTAGGAACCACTTAAATGAGTTCATTCTGAAAAGCATTGGATCAATGAAAAGCCTCACGGTTGCCGACTTCTCGTTCAACCATTTCTCCGGGAAGTTACCCGAATCCGGCCAGTTTGCCGTCTTTAACGCTTCATCTTTCGCAGGCAATCCTCAACTTTGTGGTTCTCTGCTCAACAACCCTTGCAATCTGACAGCAATCTCAAGCACCCCTAGGAAGGTCCCTGGGGACTTCAAGCTAATATTTGCAATAGGCCTTTTAATATGCTCTCTAATATTCGCCTCTGCGGCTATTATCAAGGCCAAGTCGTTCAAGAAAAACGGTTCCGATTATTGGAAGATGACTGCGTTCCAAAACCTTGAATTCACCGTCTCCGACATCCTCGAATGTGTCAAAGACGGCAATGTGATCGGAAGAGGAGGTGCAGGCATTGTTTATCATGGGAAAATGCCGAACGGTATGGAAATCGCAGTGAAAAAGCTTCTTGGCTTCGGCACAAGTAGACACGATCATGGTTTCCGAGCCGAAATCCAGACGCTAGGAAACATCAAGCACCGGAACATCGTCAGGCTGCTAGCGTTTTGCTCCAACAAGGAAAACAATCTCTTGGTCTACGAGTACATGAGAAACGGGAGCCTCGGAGAAGCGTTACACGGGAAGAAAAAGGGTGCATTCCTAGGATGGAACTTGAGGTACAAAATTGCAGTGGAAGCAGCTAAAGGCCTATGCTATCTTCACCATGATTGTTCGCCATTGATCGTTCATCGAGACGTGAAATCAAATAATATCTTGCTCGATTCAAGCTTCGAAGCACACGTTGCTGATTTCGGATTGGCAAAATTCTTGGTCGACGGGGGTGCATCGGAGTGCATGTCAGCTATTGCAGGGTCCTATGGCTACATTGCTCCTGGTATGTACTAAACTTGATCCCCTTCGTCAAATTGTGTGCCATGATAGTACTATTTATTGGTATTAATGTTAATGTTTATGTTATTTTAATCTCAGAATACGCATACACATTGAGGGTAGACGAGAAAAGCGACGTGTATAGTTTCGGAGTGGTTCTTCTAGAGATGATAACCGGCCGACGACCAGTAGGAGAGTTCGGAGAAGGTGTAGATATAGTACATTGGGCTAAACGAGTGACGAATTGTCGAAGAGAAGAAGTTAGCAGCATCGTAGATCCAAGACTAACATCCGTGCCCAAAGACGAAGCAATGCACTTATTGTTCATCGCAATGCTATGTGTACAAGAAAATAGCATCGAACGTCCCACCATGAGAGATGTTGTTCAGATGCTATCGGAGTTCTCTCGACAGTCTCCGGACTATCAACCATCGTCTTCTTCCGTCATTCGAAAAAAGTTTTGAAAAGAAGAACATTACTGAATAAATGAATGAGATATTTGAGTTTATGAATTAGGAGATTTGGTGAGCCAGAAATATATAGGATTAGGAATAATATCAAAGGATTGCAACCTTAACAATGGGGTCTTGTATTATATTCTATATTTAACTGCCACACTCAGTTTTGTTTTATATTTAAATTATTTTTTTAGGTGTCGTTCTAATTGATTAATAATATTATTATTATTACGATATTTTCTAATGGTGTTGTGTTACATAAATAATTAAATAAGTATTAATAGTTAGTTAATTAATTGTTTTTATAAAAAATAATTGTTTTGATCAAAATTAAAATATTAAGAATTAAAGTAATTCAAAAAATGTTAAAATAATTATTTTATTGAATTTTAAGGATAAATTTAAATATGTTACTATATTTTAATAATTTTTTACACTATGTATGTATGAAATAATTATATTTTTTATAAATATTTTTATTTATTCACATTTAAATAATAACAAAATACGGTCTAAAGCCCAGACAATTCACTTAAAACCCTTTTTAAATCCCACAACGACATCGCCTTTGAGTGCTGTTTGGAGGCTGAGAAGCTGAGGGAAAATTTTACTATATGAAATGACGGGAAGTCCCAAGCACTCTCCGAGCACAATCACCGAATCCAGGCCTTCTAAGATACCTAAAACCCAAGATCACCGCGACCAAGATCTAGAAGATAAACAACTACAAGAGTCAAGCATGAGCAAAAGCCCAAGAATCCAGCGCTATTTAGTAGCTATTGAGTACATTGGAACTCGCTTCTCTGGTTCGCAGCAGCAGCCCAATTGCCGCACTGTCGTTGGCGTATTAGAGGTAGTACCTTGTTCTATGTTTTCTTTTAATCGCCAAAAAGCAAAAAAAAAAAAAAAAACTCTGAAATTTCGAATTTCGCGAAGTCATTTGGTATGCATCTTAAGATTTATTTATTTATTCTTGGATTTGGAGTTTGAGAGAAAAGTGTGCATTTCGAGTTTCATGTGCCTTGTTTCATTTTATTGCAAGGTAAACATATTCTGGTTGAGTTAATGATCAGGTTTAAATAGTTATGTTTTGGTTATACAGGAGGCTTTTCATAAATTTATTGGACAGCCGGTTTCAATTTTTTGCTCAAGCCGAACCGTAAGTCTTCATTGCAAACGCTTACTTCTCTGTTATATTCTGTTATTATACTCTTTAATCATCTTATCCATTGTTAATTGTATTTGCTTTAAGGACTACTTTCATGAATTAATGGACGTGCAGACATTGTTTGGTTGAAATAATACTAATGATGCTGACCAGTATTATTACCAAAAAGTTCACTTGTAGTTATAATTTTTCTAAAGTAATATACTTTAATTTGCTTGATTTGGACATATAGTTCCATTGCGACATGGCTGTATGCTATTCAATGTTGTATCAATTAAATTTTTTTGTCACTATTGTAGGATGCTGGTGTACATGCCTTATCAAATGTTTGCCATGTAGATGTGGAACGAATAAGCAAAAGGAAGCCTGGCGAAGTGGTGAGTATCATTTCCCATTTGGTACTTGAAAAGTGTTGACATACATTTCCTTATTATTTGCATTAGGCCCTTTTTCCCTGATTACCATTTTTCATTTCTTACTAGGAAATGGTTGAAGCGTTCTCTCTTATTGTTTGATTTACTTTTTTCCTTTGAATTTAAAGTAATGGAGGCTTAGGTGGAACTCATGTGCATGTATATGAGCTGATGTTTAATTTTATGGCATTTTTGATTGCATGATATGGATGCCTCAATGTACATTTTACTTGTAGTAGTATTTTTCAAATAACTAGGTTATAAGAGTTTATGTCTTTATGACTTATATAATGACGTCATCAAGCTAAAATGCAGTTACCACCTCATGAACCATCTGTTGTTAGAAGAGCTGTGAACCATTTCTTACAGGTGTGTTCCTGTTGATCTTTCTAGTTTGTGTTAAGATGTTGTATGAGTCTCCTACTCCTGTTGTCTTCAACCCAGGATTGCTAACTTTTATTCTTTCTTTTTGTAAAACATATATACATTATCATGTTGGTGTTTAGTGTCCAATAACACATTGTTTAATTTGGTTTACTTTAGAAGAATGATGGTGATATCAGTGTGATCGATGTTCGATGTGTTCCAAATGATTTTCATGCCAGATATAAAGCTGAGGAGCGCACGTCGGTATTTTGTGATCTAAATTTCACTTTCTACAATGTGACCACTTAGCTCAGCTGAAAAATATTTTAGGTGGTATAATTCTTTGATGGAAGTTGGCACTTGCTTCTAAAACCTTTCAACTTTACCCTTTCTTCCAGTTACATGGAATCATGGTTAACATGACATTACAATTTAGCCATTTTTGAAAGTTTTGAAAAAAAAGGATTAAAATGTGTTCATCCTGTTGCTAAAGCCCTTTTCTAGTAGATGAGTTTGTCAATTGCATGGTGCTTGTGTTTTAATTAAAACATAAATCAGCTGTCTTTACTTGTGTATTGAAATGGACCTTGGTACTCAAGGATTGAGGGAAGCATATCATGATATGAAAGATGAAAAAAAAACTACTGCATGTTTGAATCATTACTTTAAGAGCAGTTATACTTTATTCTGTCAGCTTACATCATGCTTTTTTTAATTTTATTTTTAGCTGTCATATGTGAACAGAATATGTTTGTTATTGATATTTTTCCCACTTCTAACAAGTGCAACAAATAATTTAAGCAAATTCACATGATATTTTAGGTTTTTTCATATTTTTTATAAGAATTGAAGGCCTCGTTAAAAACCCTCTTCTTGATTAAAGGAGTTTTAAACAAACTCCTCAATCATCGGAAGGAGGAAAAGAGTGCCTTAGGATTTCATTGAACATAAGAAATTACCAGATACAACCAGAAATCCACCCCCAACATAAACAGAACACCAGAAACATTCGAAAATAAACCTAAAAAACAGCAAAACTCTGCCTAATCCACCTTAGCTTGGCCCGAAAGACACCACAACACCAAACAACTATAATATAAGCCAAATAAAACAAACGACTCAATCCATATACACCAAGATCAACCACAAAGACCAAGAGTTTCCACATAAAACGGATGCAGAGGAGCAAGCATCGAATCTCCTCCTAACTGCACATATTGCTCAACTTGTCGACGGAGAGCAACCGAACTTCCAACTCCAAAAGCAAAGATCATATGTAATTCATCTGCCAAAACTTCCACTGCCGTAATCTGCCAAAACCTCCAGACTCAAAATCCAGATCTTTCCCTAACATTAAGGAGTCTGTCTCTACCTTCTTTAGACTCTGCCCCAATGCTGGAAATTCCAAATCATAAAGGAATCTGCCTGCAGAATCCTCGCGTTGCACCTTATTCTGTTTAAACTTGCTTCGGCAGTGATAATTCTTCCTTTGAGGAGCCGAATTTTTGTCATGAAAAGAATGGAGAGAGGTAAAATTATTATAATTCCCCTCCTTCACTCTGTGTTTCTGCCTGGAAATGTGCGAGAATGAATCATCCCTCAAAGATCGTGCACCACCTTTGATGGGAAAATCAATTAAAAAATCCTTCATTCCCTCCTTGGCACGTGCTGTCATACAATAATTCTTGTTGGCATTTTCTGCCTCACTCCCCTCCAAAACCAGCACTATCTCGTGTTCCACCTCCTTTGTTCCCCGGTTCAGCATGGCCTCACCATTTAATCTATTAAATGCACTATTATTTATAAGGCCCTCTTTAAGCACATCCTCCACGACCTTTGACTCAACTCGACCATCCAACATGGGGAAATCTGAAAAATAATCCTTCGAACCCTCATACGTTCAGACAAACACCTATCCTTATAGACATCCACTGCTTCTCTCTCCGCATGCACCAGCTCTGTCTCGTGTTCCCCCACCTCCTCAATTTGCGAATGAACCGTCCCCTGACCACAACAGCGCTCCTCAGACCCATCATCATTTCCTCGCCTATGTTCCTGTCGTCCTCGCCCTCACCCGACAAGAAACAACCTCTAGACCCACTCCCCATACAACAGAAAGCATTTTCTTCTTCCTCAGAACACCTCCCGGGACACTGCACCTCCGATGAGTTAACGTTTCTACCAGCTTCTTCAGCACACACTTTTACTATTATTTAATGCTTTTTTCATATTATTTAATGCTTTATGCAAGAAAATCCCTTTAATACAATTAGAAGCACGTTGATGTTTCTTTAGTGTTCTAAAAATGCAAGACAGTGATTTTGATTTCATTGCATTCCATGAATTGAACTAAGATATATCTCTGAATCTACGGGAAATGATTTTGTAGGTACTTTTACCGCTTGGTTTCTGGCCCTGAACCTTTGACTGCTTTTGAAAAAGAGCGGGTGTGGCATGTACAAGAGAACCTAGATCTATATGCAATGCAGGTGGGTTTTTTCATTGTGATTCCTTGTTTGATTTAATTATTGATTTATTCAAAAAAAAAAAGTGAACTTAATTGGTATACTTCCAGGAAGCATGCAAAGTTCTTGTTGGACATCATGATTTTAGTTCCTTCAGGGCATCAGGTTGCCAGGTGGTTACTTCTCTCACATGCATGAAGTATCATTATCATGTTTGTTACATGGCTACACATGCATGTCTATGCCTAAACGACATAATTACATGTGTAATATTTCCTAACAGCTTAGAATATGAACTTCCCATCTTTCTAGTTTTGTTGACTACTTGAAGATGAATGTGTAGGCAAACTCGCCAATCAGAACTTTAGATGAACTTCATGTCTGTGAAGTACCTGCAACTCCTTATTTCCCATCAACCACTGAGAGGGAACAGAGTAATTCAAGCTCAAGCAATTCTCATTTATGCTCTATTAAGCCTGAGGTTGAGCTCCCCATTAATTCATTCTCCAATACTGATGATGTGGTAGACTCAAATAATGGTAAAAGTAATCTAGAAGAATTTGGAGTAAGGAGAAGACACCGCTGCTATGTGGTAACAGCACGTGCACGCTCCTTTCTTTACCACCAGGTTTCAGTCGTTGCCTCCTTTATATATGATTCTGATTGCCCGTTTGTGAGCTTTGTTCATTACTTTGTACCAGTCTAAGGGAGAAAACAATTTAATAACTTATTATCTCTATTTTGATGTCTCCTTTGTCTTCCTGATACTAATCTTTGTGGGATATAGCTTTTCACTTATACACACACACACACATGTACGTATATATTTTGATCATCTGCCGGGTTTCATGCAGGTTAGACTGCTTGTTGGTGTTCTCAAATGTGCTGGCACTGGAGAGTTGACAACTTCTGCTGGTATGTTTTCATTATATGTGCACGTAGGCAATTGTTTAATCTGCTCTAGTTTTTGACCTCTGTTATCTTTTCCGGGTCGGTGTTCATGCATCGAATCAAATGAAATGATTACAGTGGAAAAAATTCTGAATGCAAAGACGGTGACTGCTGCAAGTCCAATGGCCCCTGCATGTGGTTTATACCTCGGACGTGTGAAGTATGATCTGCCATGATCATGAGACGCTTAAGCTGCTGTTTCCTACATGAACCTTTATTTTGGACAGGAACGAGATTTATTACAAATACACTAATTTTTGTTTTCTTTATTTATAATTTCATTAGTATGGTTAATTTAAGACTCTTGCTGTAGTTCATCACTCTTTATGGAGTTGCTTCTTTTTTACCAAGAAAAATCTGGTAATGGAGTGAACCAAACATTCTCTTGCATCAAGTTAAACAGTTGAAAATTTTCTTCAGACAAACAACCTCCTTTTCTTTTACATTTTTTATTTAATGTTTTGGGTAAATTATATTAATGGCCACATAACTTTCAAGGTGTTTGCACTTTGATCATCAAAATCATTGAAATCAATTTTTTTTTCATTATAGTCATTTTCGTTAAATAAAATTTTCATTTTGATATTTGCACCGTTAAACCATTAATACTATATGACATGGCACATCAAGATATCAATGACGGCTGAGTTAGCATTTTTAATGCAGTCTTCATGTATTGTTTTATCATTAAGTTATTAGATGATATTAATTTATTAAAAAAATGATATATGCATGCTAACTCTTGTATCATGTCATCAGTTTTCGTTAATGGTCTAACGTCTTGTGATCGAAACAATTTTTTTCAATAAAATAATTTCAATTTTGATAATCAAAATACAAACGTTTTAAAAGTTGAATGGCCGTCAGTATAATTTACCCTTACATTTTTATATAAAGTAACAAATATATACACGGCTGTTACGGAATAATATACGTGAACTATGTATCAAAGCAACGCATAACGTCCAGAGCTAAGTGTCAGACGACCAACCAAATAATGTAGAACAAAAAGGATTTGTATTTCTTTGGCAATATAATTAATTGAAAGTCCAGCCAACCACAACTGCATTTGATATTTGCAGAGTCGAAGTTAGATAAGGTGGTGAACTACCAAACCCAAATTTGATCTACTCAATTGTCTAACCAGACAAGCTACAATCCATGGATTTTTGTATAAAAACTCAGCACCAGCATTGGCTTTCTTCAACTTCCAATCACTCATTGTTTCATACATTAGATTCACTAGCAAATGGCACCTTTCAATTGCTTCATCTTAGCCTTGTTTGCAGCACTGACGTTTTCCAGCATTGATGGCAGTCTAGCAGTTCGTCGTCTTCAGCAGTTACCACCCATGCCTAAGATACCAACTTTACCGGTACTGCCACCATTGCCACGGCCTGCGACACCAACTTTACCGGCACTGCCGAAGCCTGGCTCACTACCGCCACTTCCTAGCATTCCCAACTTGCCTACTGCCCCAAAGGTTACCCTGCCACCACTGCCAAACTTTCCTTCGATCCCCACGATTCCAACTACTATTCCCTCTATTCCTTTCCTCTCTCCACCACCATCAACTAGCAGTCCTTGAGACTATATGGCTGCTATCAGTGCTTCAACTTCTTAGTATGGAGATGGTAGACACTGTTTCACTCATATATTTCAGTCCACTTCTTATTGTTTTATGTTGACATTTATTTTCATCATCTTATATTGATATTTCTTGTACCTTGTGATTTCTATTATGGATTTGGATTATATTTTGTGTATTCCTACTTTCTCTCTTTCTCTTATTCTCAAGGCAAATCTCCAAAACATTAATGGAACAACACCACAGAAAACAGACGATGATCGACTGCGTCTCTCCCATTTCATTAGACAAATCACATAGTTAACAGTAAGCATAAAACACCTTTGAAAATAGCAGCTCACAGATCTCAGAACACTTGGAAATCATTCAAGTGAAAGAACGGGTTATGACTTTTCACACAGCAAATGATGAAAACAATGATTGAACCCTTTATCTAGGATGAAAAAATATAGTTATATGATTAAAAAAAATGGCGGAACTAAAGGAAACTTAGATTGGAGGTGTAAATTGTAAACCATAAATGTAGATTATGCCTAGTGTCTGAGCATTCTTGTGTTTTCCATCTAATAATTTACAGTGGTAATATGCATATCACCTAGTTTACCATGCCAGTTTACAAAGTTATGTCAAATACAACTTGACAAAGGGACCACGAGAAATACCATAATCTACTTCATGAAAGTCTCAATAGCTGCATGAATTGAACTAGTTCGAGAACCCCAATTCTGAGCCAACGAATGAGGGCCAGGAAAGAGAATTCCACATAAGTTAAGGAGCACGAGATTCTCGAAGCGGAAGCTCTCCAACATTTTAGATCTTTGTTGCCTTTCTTGAGACTCCTGTAATTCCATGAACACCATTAACTCGGTGCACGAACTAAATACATAGTAGCATGTCATAGAAATGCAAAAATGCGTATGTGCAAAATAGAAACCTTGAACTCTTGAAGCATCACTTTGCTGATAACTTAATAAGGTGCTTAAGCCTTGTCCCAAAATAATAGGAAGAAAGTTTGCAGTACACTCTCCGAGCTAGAATGGAAATGGGATATTTTGTAGTAATGATGAAGGGACACAATGGATGACTATATTTTGGAAACCGGAAACAAGAGGGGGTGGGGAAGGAAAAAAGGGATATTGGAGAAGAGAAATACCTTGTATCTCTGCTGCTGAACTTCTTTACTTTTTTCCTCATTTTGTGATGGAGTAGATCCTCTCTGGTTTAGGGCTACTACACCGGACTTATCCATTGCTTCAGGCAGAGATTTTCTACTCGGCTGCTCTGACAAGCTACCTCTTAACCGTGATTGCTCTTTTGTTCGATGACCATCTTTGTTCATAGGCTTCATCTCATTTTCTTCCTCATCCTCATCCTCCTCTTCCTCTTCTTCCACGTCATCTTCCTCCTCCTCCTCATGCCTCCCCTCCATATGGCTATATTGATGCTCAGACAACTCCCTTTTCACCTTTTCTCCTTCACCTTCCACCTCGGTATCTGCATATGGGTCCACTGATTCATCCATATTTGGTGATAAATCATCACCGTAAAAACTACCAACAGGTGAAGATTCCTACATTCAAGAAATGTAGAAGAGAAGCCAATCTTCTGTTTAGAATATGAAACATAATTCTTTTAACGATTGATTTAACCTTAAATGTAAACATCACTACATCAGTCCAATAAATTAGCAGCAGCATACCTCTTGCTGGAAATCCTGGACTCCACTCTGACCTTTATTAGCCATTCGAGCATTTGCCTCACACTCTCTCTTATGCCGCTTCAAGACGCAAATAGCACATAAACAATCACTTTTATGTCTCCTCCTGCAAAATGAAGGATGAAAAACAATTACAGATATATATATTGGGGGGAATGCAGATGAAACTGTCCATTGCACAGGAGAGGAAGGGGAAAACCCCACCAACAACATACCCATGTTTCTTTTTCATTTTTGATTGACTGCCTTTTATATGCATTTTCCCCTGGCTGAAAAGTGCACCATCGTCGACATCACCACCATCAGCACCTGATAAAAAGGAAATAAAGACTTCTAGTAAAGCCATGTATGTGATACCAAAAAAAAATTCCTCAGCTCCACATAGGTAAACAATTTTAATGTGAAAAATAAACAATATTTCGATGTTTTGTCTTTACCAACACAAGAGTCAGAAAGGCCTATAGCATCATAGATGCATTAAAGAATACTTGTAATTCAAAAAACCTTCCTGAAGAACTAAAAATGACAGAAGAATAAACAAATTCCGTATAAAGAAAAACAAAATGCATCAACTACTAGGTACACAAGTCAACATCAGTCCTCACCATTTGCTCCTTTTGACCGTTCAGTGTATAATCCTGCTGCTGTCCAATACTTCATGAAGTTCTTCTTCACCCGCCTCATTAGGTCCAAGATAGCATTACCTTTGTTGTTGTACTTGCAACAATTATCCCAAATGTATTGTACGTCCTTAAACACGTCCTCTGAATCCATATGCTTGTCCTCATTTTCAAGATTGTTGCATATCGTTCTAAAATCCATTGGTGTGTCTATGATATCAAAATAGTCCTACGTTTTGATACAGAAAGAATTAAACAAGTAAAACATATCTTGTTAGACTTAACAAAAAGGGAATAAGAAACTATATGGCATATAAGGCAAGACATAAATGTATCATCCAAGTAATTAAGCCACATATAGCAGGAGCTGTAACAATAAATACAGAAAGCCATTGGCTTCCCTACAATGAAATTTCTCTTAAGATGTTATTTAACTCCCTTAGGAGGACAATATCAATAGCCATAATAATAAAAGTGCATAGATAATCCAGATATGAATAAATTACTAATTATCTACCATCGAAAAACCTCTCGACTTTTGAATACCAAAGAAAAAAAATGCTGCAAAATCTGAAACCTTATAAGTATAGCTTGTTATTCACACTTACAGGTATCCCTAGAGCTTCAGGGTTGACAGGCTCATTGAAGGGAGCAGCTGCTTCCATTTTCATCACTTTCTTGATCACCTAAGAGAAAACAACAAACAGAAACAATGGTAAGAAAATAGGGGGGGGGAGTAAACAGTAACAGAAACAAAGTAAAACCTCCGGCATACCGTTAGAGCAGAATCTAATTCTAGCTTATTATACCGAGAACCTAGACGATGCATCTTTGCTTCTTTCTGGAAAGAACCCTCACGTTCTGCGGCTATGGCATTGCCACTCTTATCAGCATTTGAACCAGCCAACATCCTAGACGACTTAATCTTGATACTTCCAGCTTTCCTCGACACACCACTAGAAGCACCCATTTTCATCTCGGCTGACGAATTAGCACTGTCTTCCATTTTCTCATAAACCACACCTTGTCTCTCAAACCCTATTTGTGGACTGCTCTTGTCGGTATCACTATGCGAAGGCACATCGGAATTAGCACTGTCTTCCATTTTCTCATAAACCACACCTTGTTTCCTTTCTTATGCCCTTTTTTCGCTTCATTTGTCTAAACAGAAATTGGCCTTTTTCTTACACACTACAACCAACCATAAAATAACATAAATCAACTCAATATCAATTCCACTAACACAAAGTTTACTTCTTTTTTTACTAAAAGAATTAGATCTTTTTCCCTCGTAAAATTTCCCAGTTTAAAATACCCAGAAACCCAATTCTCAAAAAACCCTAGAAAGTTCTGTTCTTCTCTGTTCTCTCAAAAACAACACATGGTGGAATGAAAACGCAAGAAACGCTACACTTAACAAGAGAAAGTAAAATTCAAATGGCAATTTGGGCAAATCGTGGTTTGAACACCGAAGAACAAGTAATGGCGGGGCAATTTAGCAATCACCAAAAATTTAAAAATATTAAAAATAATATTTTAAAAGGAATACTAAGTAAAAAGGATCTTTTTTTCTCTTTTAAAATTAAGAAACAAATAAAAGGGAATAATTAGTTTGGGAAGAAAGAGAGTGAGTGTTTACCTTGTGTAGCGGGTGTAATTAAGTAATTGAAAAATCCCGTAAAGAAATTAACGTTAGGTATTTGGAGATTTATTGACTTTTAACGGAGATGGATTTGAGTTTCCAAACGTTGTTCCTTAAAGAATTATCAGATTCGCCGCCGTGGTATTTATATTTAGGTTATTTCCATCCTTTTAGCAAAGTTTACCCGACTCTATTTTTTATTTTAAATTAAATTATTATTATTATAACAAAATTCATCTTCTTCGTATTTTCAAAATATTTCAATTAAATCTCTATAATTTTATATTTATACTATGTAATTTATACTTTTAAACTTTTAATTTTACAAAAATTAAAATAAGTATCAGATACCTTACTACCACCATTAATAGGTATTCGAATTTTATAAATACCCAAGTTTTAGGATTAAAGCACATACAATTCATAGGTACCTAACACTTCGAACACCCAAAAATGGACACTTCTAGTATTGATGCTATTTCACTCCACACTTGTTAGCATTGAAATTAGAAACTTAACACTTAATTTATCATTATCGTATATGATTTTTATATTAAACTAGCTTAGACTTAAGAATAAATTAATTTCTCTATTATCATAACAAATAATTTATCATTAACTTGACAAAAGTGAAAGTTAAATTTTAACCATGCATCTACCAAATAATTTTCTAGATACATATACATCCATATCAAAAGAGGAGAATTTCTTGTAATAAATGGGTACGTGATTACAACAAATGATAAAGGGGAAAAAGTATATAAAGTTATACAAATCTACATGATTTATATCATCTGAAAATAGTGATATATATCCATAATATACATATACACATACATATAAAAGTCTGGCTCTGAAACCATGTCAACTTAAAAGTCGAAACCGATTAAATAATTGCAGGCATTGTCTTTACCTTACCGAAAACATAAACTCACCAGGGAAAAAAAATACCAGAGAAAAACAATTCAACTCATCAGACGGTGGTGGTGATCCCCCCACGACCATTTTGCTTAATAGCTTCCTATATATTCATACAAAATATAACGTTTCGCTTAGTAACTTCATTCGTTCAATGATTCATGTTTCAGAAGTTCAATATTAAAACACTGCCAATTTGAATCAGCATAATTCCACCTACGGCGAAAACGGTGGGTAAAGTCCGTTAAACATCATCATCTTTTGGATCTTCCTCCTAGTGGAAGTGTTGGAAAAAGAAAACTAAACCGAGTTATCGGCAAAACTGAATTTCTATAGTCTGGCCTGATGTATAGCTAACGCGGCAAACTCGACTGTACAGAGTTTTTGAAAGGCAAATACACAATGAACAAAGAAAGTCTTGTTTTCCTTATGTCATTGACAAGTTAATGCAAGCGAGACAGGTGGAATATATGGAAGGCGGGGATGGACCGAAGGGGACAGTCGCACCCGTCGAAGTTTTAAAGTCTCATATAGTGTAGGTATTTTTTTGTATTTTATACTGATTATCTAATTTTAGACCCCAAATTTATAATATAACTTTCTAAAAGTTCACACCTCTAACCTAAAATCTCGTGTACGTTCCTGAAATATGCTTAACAATATTGCACACATTTGCAACCAAACTACAAATGCATGACATGCTATTTCCTAAAATATTCTATTTTGAGATCATTTTGTTTTCACAGTTGAAATCTTTCAATCAACTAAGGCATTTTTCATAATATATTGGGTCACCCTAGATGCTTAAAAGCTCATTATTTTGCAAACCCACTTGGTCACAACATTGTGTTTTTATTAGCGGTTGGTACATTTCCAAGACTAAGCTAATTAGTTAACATGTCCAGTAAAAATATTGTCCCTACTAAATATGTACTGTATGTTGTAGCTTCATTGTGTACTAGGGACATTTAGGAGTATCATATAACTTTTATGCAAACAGCATAATAGTATGGCATATGACAAAAAATAACAACCATTAAATACTGGTATAAGAGGTTGCCAGTTCCGACCCCAAAATATTTGAAGACACACCAATCTTCTGTAGAAACTTTTCCATGTTTGAAGCCATTCTAGCCATGTGGTTTTCCATAAGGGTATATTTTTCCTCCATGGCCTCCATTTTCACCGCCATCTTACGCACCTCTTTATTTGCGGAACTTTTGGCCTCGGAAGCCATCCTCACAAGGGCAGCACGGCTAGGCCTTGAGCCAAAAATACCAGTACGATTGGGACCCATTCCAGAAGTTTCCACGCAGTCATCTTTTTCTTCTCCCATAACTTGACACAAGGTGTCATTTGACTCATCACTACGTTGTGAGTTATTCTGCTTCTTAGCTTCTTGTTCGCGGATCTTTGACTGCAAAGAAAAACACAATTGTTCAACTTGCAAAATTTATCAAGGGCGGATGCACAAGATTTACATATAAATCTGCAACTAGCAAAAGAACGGTTGAGTCACTTATACATACAATTAATTTTGCCGCAGTTTCGTCAACAGGCTGTCCATACTTGCGTGTATGTGTTAATATATAAAGCTCAGCTCTAGTTGGTTCCTTCCCATCAGGCCTCTTGTTTGGCTATTTCCACAACAAAAGCAACAGTTTCTTTCAAATATGGCCAAAGCAAAATATGAAACATGCATGTAACTACAGAAAACGAGAAATCACCTCCTCCTCAGATGGATTGCATAACTCTTGGTCCCTGACGAATGTCCACACGTCTGTTTTTTACGATTAGCCTTATTTCTCTCACAATGCTTCTACAAACGGAAATTATAGACAACAGGCTTACACATTTTAACGTTAACTACCAATAAAATTTGCAGCTGGATAGAGGTAATTTGAATTGACAATCACTTCTTAGCGTGTACCTTTGTCTCATCAGTGTTCCAGTATGAAATAAGGCTTGGCCATTGCTCAGGAACAACCCTTGGATCATGTACCTTCAAGCGCTCTTCATCCGTCTTAAGAGAATCGTAATATGTTGCCTTTAAATCTGCTTTCCAGTCCCTCCATTTTGTACCGATAGCCTGCATGACCCAAGACTTGCCACTTGGATCAATGTCAAACTTCGTCTATATAGCAAATGGAAGAGGCAAAATGTCAATGAAAAAGGAAGTAATATGACACAAAAGGACACAGCAAATGTTTTATCATGCCTGAACATATTCCCACATGTCCACTTTATAAGAATCTGGCACTGCCCTCCGGTGAATAAAAGTAAGGGGTGCTCTGTGTCCATTCCGTGCTATAGTGGCCAGGAAGCAGCTTAGCTTGTATGCATTTGGACCAACAGGCTGTCCAAGCTTGTTGATCTGGACAAATATCCGTTCACCTTCTGCCTTGTCGTCCAAGAAGCGGCAGCGAGTAGGACCTCTTCCTCTCCTCCTTTTTGTGAACTTTTGCTGTTCCAGGCTCTGTGGGGTCAGCTCGGGCTGGGATTTGGCACTGCTCCTGATTTACTCGGTTAGATTTGTTGGGGCCAGCAGAATACTTAAGTGCACATCTAATACCCCTCACTGTTGAATCTGTAAGAGACATGTGAGAATGTTCTGCAAGAAGGGGAAAGAAAATCAGATGTGCCACCCGAAAAGAAACACTAATATGAAGAAGTTACATCAAGATTGAAAGAATCAATCGTTTTCAAATAAAGGAAATCTACAAACTTTCACATCACCTAAGCAAAATAACTCTTAGCTGAAGCAATTTAACAAGCAGCTAAAGGCTATTCCAGATAATCATGTTTAGCTTTTATTTGTGTTCACTACTGCTTTCTTGCTGGTGCTGATGGTTAAATTATCAAATGGCATATAAGATAAGACCATCTATACAATTTATATAAACACAAGGGTAAGCAGATAGTTCCTAGATTGACACAAAAGCAGCATTCAGATGGTACCAATATCGACATTATCTTGCAGCTGGGACGACTGAGGCTGGCAACGGCTTGTCTTCGTTTGCTGTTGCTGTGGCTCACTAGATTCCCCATGGCTCAATGGGGACCGCATGGGATGTGATTGGCCAGGGAGAACCATGGAATCCACTGGATAACAGGAAACGTAGCCACGGGACCTTGTATAATCTGCTTGAGGCAGCAAGTGTGAGTGTCCTAGGGAAGAAAAATAGATAGTCGGAGATATGTGAAGAAACAATCTTGAGATTCCTTACTTTGATCTTTATCACATACAACCTACCATTAGTGTTGATGGAAATCGATTCCGGGAAATCAAAAGGACTAGCCGCCTTAACAACCATCTGAGTTGCTCTGCAATCCAACTTTTGCAGTGTTTCCTTCTTGATCTCCACTAACTCCCCCACCTTGAAGCTAGACTGGAGAAAAAAGCTTAATTCCAACAGTTCAGAGGTACTCCAATTAACGACACTTCGCAAAACGCCAGAGGTACACTCCCTTCCGAGGAAACTGGCCTCAACCAATCGAACCAGAAATTTAATTCCAGAGCTTTTTCTTTCAGAGCTTTCATTTTATCTTCTTTCGACTGAAAAGTGACTAAGCATGAGTTCCTGGCATACCCCCAGCTCACCACTTTTGCAGTTATACCATCGTTGTGCAAAGCTTTCTGAATTAGTTCCACATCATATGATTGTTTATGTATGCCAGTCATCGACCTCTTTAACCAACACCGCTCCTCTACAGGGATGAAAACATACTAAGGATTCTTCGAACTACTACGAGCCCCTACTTTAAGCTTATTATTTCCCACCAGTTTCTCACGATAAGAGCTCCCATCATGAAACTTATTGTACACCAAACCTTTGCCTTCAGTACCCTTTGTTTTAGTCTCATCCCTCCCTCTTGCCGATTTCTAATATTTCGCTTCCTTGACCGAAACTCTCTTCCCATCAATCATTGCATTATCTACCTTTGCTACTGCTTGCAGAAGATCCTCCTGGCTCTCAAAGTGGACAAAAGTAAAAGTCGAATCCCTGTACTTCGGTCTCTTGTTAACAATGGGGATAAACACCTTAACAACCTTGCCATGGAGCTTGAACCGTTCCCACAAAGCTCTCCTACTAACTCTTTTACTTAGATTATGACAAAAGCAGACCAAGGGCCTCCAGCGGGGAGAGAGCCTTGAACTTACTTTTCGTTGGCCATATTCACTAGAATGGCAGGGATACGATCTAACTGATACATATTTCTCATTATCAATAGCTAATATTTTGTTTTTCCAGGGTGCGAATTTCAGGGACTTGCCTGGTGTAATAGTTGGTGAAAACAATAAAGTAGAGTGGGACACAACAATGGACAGAGTGTTGCTCAAATCTGGATAACCATTGGTATTATGTTGTCTACAACTCTTATTGTTTATTACATTGTTTTCGTTCAAGTCTTTTCATTTAAATTATGTTTACAGGTGCCAGATTATGCCATGAAATTTGTCAAAGGGAGATCAACCAAGTAAGCATCGCTTAACTATTATTGACAAATTTTGATTTTGCTACAATGCTATATTTTGCACAACCTTATGTGATCACTGGAATTTAGGCCATTCGGTCGTTTGTGGTTGGATGAAATTGTCAACACAGTGGTAACAAGGGCTGAACCTCACAATCAGGTTCCTTTCCCCCTTCTCTTTTTATGTATTGGATTGCCATGATTAAGGATGTTTATGGGTAGGGATGGTCATTTCCCTTGTACCTGACAGGTTTTGACCTGACCTAACCCGGTTAGGTCGGTTTTCTATTTTGAAAATTTGGTATTGAATATGATTTTTAAAAGGGTGTAGTCGGGTTTGACCTTTGAGTTTAGGATGAAAATATTTGAATTTATTTAACACAATATTATAATTATACCTTATATGTTTAGGAATAATTTATATTCTATTTTTTAAATTAAATCATTATTTTATCTAATATATATATATATATATATATATATATATATATAGGTTGAGTTGGATGTGCGGTTTTTAATCTAAAAATTTGAGATAAGTGGGATTCTCCTAAACTTCAATTTTCGGGTCAGGTTCGAGTGGGGTAAAAATTCAATTCTACTCGAACTCAAGGCCATCCATATTTGTGTTATTTAAATATATTGTATCTCACTTCAAAAGCCAAACCTTTTTGGCAGACGGTCATCCATCCTTCCCAAGATAGGGTGCTTACAATCCGTGAGAATGCGAGATTACAAGGATTCCCGGACCGCTACAAACTTTTTGGGACTATTAAAGAGAGGTTTGCTGCGTTTGCACATAAAATTTCAACCCAATTTTGGTATATGATATTCTTATTTTATGTTGATCTTGTTTTATTTTCATTTCTGCTTACAAATTTTTAACAGTTGATATTAAGATCGTGATTTGAGTTGTTCAGTTATAAAAAATTTACCAATATCAATTTTATTAGGGATATTAAAGACATATTAAGATAAGTTGTTAATCTTGGTCAGAGAAGCATAGCATAGGCCAATTATAAGCACACTTTTCTCTTGCTTTTACCAGGTACATACAGGTGGGAAACGCTGTCGCTGTTCCGGTTGCAACCGCATTGGGATTTGCTTTCGGTTTGGCTTGCCAGAATTTATGCGACGACGAGCCTCTGATGACTCTTCCTTTCAAGTTCCCAGATTGCCTTGCACGGTCTTCACACATACAAGGAGATGATGGTTCTGATTGAAGAACAAAGTTTCCTTTCAAGTTCCCAGATTGCCTTGCACGGTCTTCACACATACAAGGAGATGATGGTTCTGATTGAAGAACAAAGTTTCCTTTCAAGTTCCCAGATTGCCTTGCACGGTCTTCACACATACAAGGAGATGATGGTTCTGATTGAAGAACAAAGTTTCCTTTCAAGTTCCCAGATTGCCATGCACGGTCATCACACATACAAGGAGATGATGGTTCTGATTGAAGAACAAAGTTTCCATTCAAGTTCCCAGATTGCCTTGCACGGTCTTCACACATACAAGGAGATGATGGTTCTGATTGAAGAACAAAGTTACAAACAAGTATCAGTTCTGTTAACATCACAGCATTGGTTTCCTCTTCTCGGTGACTTGTATGAGTTAATTATTTAAACTATGATGCATTGATGGACAATAATCTTATTTGTATTTTTGTTTAACTACTAATTTAAAGCCGGGGCTTGATCCGTTTCCTATATAATTTCATTTTTTTTCTCTTTCTTTGTTCAGTCCTACCAGATAATAATACATGTTGAATTCGTACATAAAGTTAAACCATGTTAGAAGTGGCTCATTTTTAAAAAAAATACAGATTGACCCCTAAAATTCTATATACTTTTCAATTTAGTTCAAAATTCAATTGAGTCTTGAAATTCAAAATTTTACCAAATTCTCAAAAGTTTCAACCCTAATTTTAGGGTGAACAATCTTGTTCTATGTTGATATTGTCTTATTTTTATTTTATTTTACAAAAATCTAATAATTGGTATTAGAGACATGTTTTGAGTTGTTTAATTTTGAAGAAATTTGTTGATGTGGAACTTATTAGTGATGTTGGAGACAAGTAAATATGAGTTTTGTTACAATGAGTTCTCAATTAAAGGAGTAATTTTTAATTAATCTAGCGGTGCTTCAACGGAAAACAAGGAAAAGGATTCATTGGAGAATGATGAAGAACTTGCTCCATCAGGAGAATGGAAGTCTGAAGAACTTGCCCCTTCATCAGGGGATGATGAAGCTCTTCCACCAAGCGATGATGAAGAACATGCATCTTCATCAAGCGACAGTGTGCTCTTTCATCAGAGGACAACGATGAATAAGTTGCTCCTACAATGAACTCTATTTGCATTGAGAAATTCACTTTTAATGTATTGAAATATGTAAATGATCACCTATATTAATCAGTGGCGGATCCACATATTTAAAAATGGAGTCCAAAAATTTCAATGCTTTTTTTAACAAAATGGGTATGTAGTTTTTTCTCACTCCCTTAATATATTGAACTATATTTAATAAATTATTTAAAATAATGAGTATGTTAGGAGCCAAATACATTCGTCCCTGATATCAATATAATTCAAATAAAGTTCAGGATCAAATATCACTATGGAATAATCTTAATGAGCTCAAAGGTTCGTTGGGAAGACAATAAATACTTGGAGGAGATTTCAATGCATTGCGTAATAGAAGTGAGAAATTATAAAATAGTGGGAACAAATGCAAGGACGAAGATAGAATATCAGTTCTAGGGATAAAATATAATTAATTATAAAAAATAAAGGTACAAAATCAAAATAAATTAAAACTAGGCAGTCTAATTTAATATTTAGAAAAGAAGAGGACTATAATTTCGTCTTTTTGGATAAAACGGTCAATATTCGATTAAGAGGAAGAATGTTTATGGACTGAAAATCGTATTAATTATTGAAGTGATCTAAATGTTATTTAATATTATTTCAATAATATTATTTAACATCTTAGGCTCCTTGCTGAATAATTGAATTATAAGGATCGTATTAATTATTGAAGTTATCTAAATATTATTTAATATTATTAACGTTTCAAAAGTTTATTTACTAATTAAAACAACATTTTTCTTTATTGTTATGTAAAAATATTTAATATCACATTTAGCATTTTAACAGCAGCCCTTAATATTGTTATTATCTATTTGGATGAATGAATGACAATATGAAAAATAAGATTAAATTATATTAGATTCAAGCATATGGATTAAATTCTAAATTTATATATAATAGAAGAATCACAATTATAATTTGAGAAAATCGCCTCAGTGACCAAAAAAAAGTTATAATATACGATTTTAACCAACTTTTTTTGGATTTGCCAAAATGACCAACAAAATCGCAACGCGAAATAAAAATCGCAACGCGATCCCCAGAATCGCAAATCAGTTTCCAAAATCGCAACGCGATTCTTGAAAATCGCAATGCGATAGTACAAATTCGCATTGCGATTTTCCAAAATCGCAACGCGAATATGAAAATCGCAACGCGAACACATAAATCGCAACGCGTATCCGTAAATCGCAACGTGTATCCGTAAATCGCAACGCGTATGGGTAAATCGCAATGCGTATCCGTATATCGCAATGCGTATCCGTATATCGCAACGCGTATCCGTATATCGCAACGCGTATCCGTAAATCGCAACGAGAATCTATAAATCGCAACGATAATCCGTAAATCGCAACGCGATATTTAAAGCGCCATTATAATCGCTACGCGTATTTTATTTTCAAATTACAAAAAGAATATTAAGACAAAATCCCGTAATCGCAACTCATAACCTAAAACCTAAAATCACAACTCAGTCCCATCTCCATCTCTCACTCTCTACGGCGAAGAAATCCGTCCCCATCTCCGAAGATTTCCGTCCCCATCTCCGGCGAAATCCCTCACAACCATTCACGGTCAGAAATCCCTCACAATATTCAGAAATGGAAAATCAACCTCCGAGGGTTAGTTTTTTTAATTATTTTTATTTTGAAATGTTTGCATTATTGTAGGTTTTTCATATTGAAACTGATGATAAGTTTATTGGTCATTTCAATAATAGATTAACCATTTCACTTAGATTTCATTTCGCGTTACGATTCTGTCGTTGCGATTTTCATTTCGCGTTGCTATTCTCTCGTTCCGATTTTCAAGTTAGTATTTGTCTTTGTCTTTGTTCTGTCTTTTGGTTGAAGTAATGCAATCCATTCAAGTTTCAATTTGCAGAAGAGTCGCAACGAGATAAATGAAAATCGCAACGAGAGAATGACTGTCGCAACGAGAGAAATGACAATCGCAACGAGAGAATCGCAACGCGAAATGAAAATCGCAACGAGAGAATCGCAACGCGAAACCAAAATCGCATTGCGATTTTCATTTCGCGTTGCGAATCTCTCGTTGCGATTGTCATTTCGCGTTGCGATTCTCTCGTTGCGATTGTCATCTCGCGTTGCGATTCTCTCGTTGCGATTTTCATTTCAACCAAAAGACAAAACAGTGTTGCAAATTTTAGTTTCAAGAATAAACTACTACTTTTATGTTTATTGTTTTTGTTATATCTTCACAGTGTAGTTTTTGGTATATCTAACTTGGTATGTTTATTGTTTTTGTAGAAATTTTTTTCGGCTCAATTGACCTTGAGAAATAAAGTCAGCCTGGCCACTACAATTGCAAAGAAGCTTTCACCTGCTCAAAGACAATTGTTTGAGGAAACCTGCTTCGGGCCATGGCTGAGAGTACAACATCCGGGTGGAGATGCTAATTTGACCCATTTGTGGCTTCAGACCATGACATCAAATCTACCCGACAGTATACAACGTGGTGAGGAAGAGATATGGTTTCATTTTCCACCAGCGTATACTTGTTTTGGGCGGAAGGAGTTCTGCTTAATCACTGGTCTACGATTCGGACACGATGATGTAGGCCGGTACACTCGTCATATCGCCCGCCCATCATGGTTATCCCGGGTTTTTCCGGATGAGTCAATGGAGAAGCCGAACCTACATGTCGACGACCTGAAGAAATTGTTTAATAAGAAAGCTGGTTTCACTCGGATGGATGACGTCGATGTTGTCCGAGTATGCCTTCTACTACTTGTGTATGCCGGCTTTTTAGGCAGAGAGGCCAGACAACCTATTCATCGGGAGCTAATAATATTGGTAGAGGACCTGAATGCATGGAATCTGTTTCCGTGGGGTTCGTATATATGGAAAGCTACTTGGACTAAGTTGTCGTCTGCCTTTGATGACCGCAAAAGTTTGCGGGGCGATGGGTCCAAATACACTTTGTCAGGCTTTGTTTGGGCCTTTAAGGTAAGAATTTCTATATAATGTTTCTAAAATTATAATTAATTATTTAACAATTACTAATTTTGTTATTATATTGTTTGTAGATTTGGATATTCGAGGCTTTCCCCAGCATGCGTACATATGCAATAAAAACGTCAAATGATATTCCCAGGGCTATTTCCTGGAAGAGGAAAACTCTGTTGGATTGGGAAGACTTAATACCATATGCCACAATAAATAATGTAAGTTAACACAAATACTTTCATATAATATATAAACAAGTTATTAATAGTAGACGTTTAACTTTGTTTGAGTTTTTATATTTTAGGAGGCTAACATTCCATTACAAAGACTGACACCCACGGAGGAAGAGCTTGCCACTGATTGGTGGCAAGCTAGTCTGAATTTTTTTGATGGCACGGATGATGAGCAGCATCCACTTCCTCCAATTCGAGAGCCATCACCTCACCTAGAGCCATCACCCGATCGACCCGACTATACACCTCTAGAACGAGAGCCATCACCTATCCCGTCACATCATCGAGCCTCTTCTCCACCATCACCTCATGATAGGCGACCGGCAAAGATGCCACGACTCCTATCTCCCTGTTCTCCACCTCCACCTCAACGGGATGAGTCAAGGGAGTTACGTGATGAGGTCAATGCCTTGCGTGAGGAGATCGGTACTCTACGCGATAACGATGGTGCATGGCGTGTGGAGGTGTCAACTTTACGTGGTGAGGTTGCCGCTCTACGTGAGATGATAGTATCGTTGCAGAATGAGGTTCATACTCTACGCAACGAGGTAAGTTTAAGATTTTCCATATTTAACTTAATGATAAATTTACTCGTAATTTCACTTAGATTAGCCATTTCACTTAGATTGCTTAGTAAATTTATTCGGTTGCTGCC